CTGTTAGAACATGTTAGAACCTGTTGGAACACTGTTAGAACATGTTGGAACACTGTTAGAACACTGTTGGACCCTATTGGAATATTGTTAGAACAATGTTAAAACCTGTTAGAACACTGTTGGAACATTGTTTGAGCAACATTAAAACCTGTTAGAACCTGTTAGAACCAGTTAGAACACAGAACCTATTGAAACCAGTTAGAACCTGTTACAACCAGTTAGAACAGGGCTATTGAACTGGCAGTCCGGGGCCGAATCAGGCCCCCACAGTTGGGTCCACCAATGGGTCCATTTTAAAATAAAACTAGATTTTAAACCATAAAACAATGACAGTAACTGTGGATGTGAGCTTTGTCCATCCCCAAGAATCTTAAGTAAACATTTGTTGTTGTTGTTGCAGAGAAGTGAAGATTTCAGACAAACAATACATTTCATTGAGGATGACAACATCAAGTTACTAACTGATATATTTTACCGCTACGTTAGATTTATTGTTCTGAATAAAGTTTTACAAGGCTATAACTTATGCTAGTTTATCTAAACGTTAGCTTGCTAACCTGAGAGGCACGTAGCTAATGACAAGCAGGCTGGAGGACTGAAGGTAATTTATTATTGATGATTTATTTTACACATCAGTTAAAATAAACTTACCATCAGCAAAATACACCACGCTATTGTTCGCTGCTTCGGCTGTGATGAAAGTGAAACTTAAGTGAACGACCATGACTTGAAAGTTGTCTTTATGCGCACTCTGCTGGATACATTGTACAATTATGGCTGGTTCCAGCATTTTAGGGGTGGAAATGAGAAGTGTTTATATTGGTGCATTATGGGACAATTCTCACAGATACCAATAGGTCCCCAGATCTTTATATCGGCCCTCCTGAATAATTGGTCAGGCTCTACCTTAAAGGACTGACTGCCATGTTACAGACAGTAACCAGTTGTTTTCTGTCGTCGAAGCTTTAAACATTTTACTTTAATTACAAAACAGTTTCTGTGCACACTGTGTATGAACAGGCTGCATGTGAAGTCATTTCTGTAAAACAAAATGGACACATGTTAAAAACATCCAAACACTTGATTTATAACCTTCCAGCTGTAATCTGGCTGCTCTGGGGTTAAAGTTGTCAAATTAAATGTCTGTGCAGAACCAGGACTATGTTTTATCTGGGAAAGAGAAACTTGGCACACGATGGGTTCATATTTCAGTTAAAACTTGCGTTGAGTTGAAATATATAGTGTGACAGTGAAGTTGTTGCCATTTACTTTGAGCAGCAGTTTATTAGAAAACAAAGATCAGCTCTCACTGCAGAACAGATCCTCTTTAAACTGACTCGATATGTGAGGAAGTGTCTATAAACCCAACGTTGATGTGACTGTACCATTAGCATGTGGTCAGTTGAGGTCATTTGCCTGCTGATTATGTAAAACAAACATTAAAATGAATCAAGGCTCAGAAGATTTCATCAGAGTATCATTAATTGTACAATATTTCCTGTTTATTTATGTCATTCTTTTTAAAAGTCATCAACCACAGAACATACAGTGTAGACATACTAGTGGTGAATAATTGTGCATCTAAACGTATGAATTTTGTTTTCAAATGTTTCTGTTCTTTGAATGAACAAGACATGGTCTTTTTTTAAATGTATGAAGCCAATAAAAAGGCACTTATTACTGAAAAACATCTCAATTTGAAACATTTCTGTTTGATTTTAAACGTTACGACTGATTTTGGTAAAAGCTGCAATATCTAAACTTTAAGTGACCTAAAAACTGGAAAAAAAACTTTCTTTATTCACAAGTTCTGACATTGTTCTATATGACACGCATACCTGTACAGCTGTAAAGTTTTATCCTGCTAATTTGAATAATTTCTCGTTCTTTCTTGATTTCAGAAACGCTTTGTAGCGGGAGATTCTGAGTGAGCGATGACTGTGGTCCATTCTTGCAGCTGTAAGTAAACCAGCGTGATACTGTGATTGATGGATTTACTGGAAGCAGAACCTGATGTAAACTAGTTTATTGATGACAAAGCACCACCAGGAGCAGAGAGAGTTCCTTATCTCTTTAAAGTCATGGCTGTTTCAGCCTTCATCATAGTTGCATGTGACAGAAAGGGGTGTGAACCAGCCTGGCTGTGTGTGTGTGTGAATTTAATTCCTTTATTGTTCTTTGAAGTAAGTTGAAACAGTTTATTTCTCCGTGTCAGATCATGTCAGCAGTTAGGATCGCCCCGCCTCACAGCCAGACGGATGGCAGAAGAAAAAACTCCAAAACAATGTCTGCAGAGGTATCGCCGGACTCCAAGTGTCCCATCTGCTTGGATAAGTTCAACAACGTTTCTCACCTGGACCGCTGCTTGCACAAGTTCTGCTTCCGCTGCATTCTGGAGTGGTCCAAAAACAAGGCGGAGTGTCCGCTGTGCAAACAGCCGTTTCGCTCCATCTATCACACCATCAAGTCGGATGAAGACTTTCAGAAGTACGAAGTCAAACAGCATGTGGACAATTCTTCTTTTGGTTACTTTGAGGGCGTGCGCTTCAGATACCGCACAACTCTCACTGGAATCCATCGACAGATGAGAAGAACCTCCCCCCCTCCGGACAACGGCGTAATATTTGAAGCCTCGATTAATCCCCCCCAGCAGCGGCAAGATGGCTACATGCGGCGCATGATGCAGAGGTTGGAGGCCAAGAGGAGAGCCGAGAGGGAAGGCAGGGCGGTGACCAACGTCAGAGAGCAGGAGATGATCAACTTCAGGAGGGAGCTGTACCGCCGAGGGGCGAGGGTTCGAAGTGTGAGGGACGGTGGCTTGTCCCGAGACACTTCTGTTGAGTTTTATCAAAGAAATCCAGCCTGCCTGCACAGACTGGTCCCCTGGCTGAAAAGAGAACTGATGGTGCTGTACGGGGCCCACGGCTCCTTGGTCAACATAGTTCAGCACATCATCATGTCACGTATCACACGGTACGATATGGAGGACGGAGCTATTCAGGAAGAGCTCAGGCCGTTCCTGCAGGGACGAACAGAGCACTTCTTACACGAGTTCATCAGTTTTGCAAGGTCCCCCTTCAACATGGAGGCCTACGACCAGCATGCTGTTTATGACTGCCCAGCCCCCTCCTCCAGTGAAGACGGCAGCTCCAACTCTTCTGTAATCGCCATCTCTGAAGATGAGGACAACTCTGCAGAGATGGGCCGTCCAGAAGACGCCACGTCAGCTCTGAGCCACTCTGTGTGGGACGACGAGACACCTGGACCATCGTATTCCACAGGAGCAGAGCAGAGCGGGGCAGAGCGCCTGTCAGTTCTGGACCTGGACTCGGAGAGCAGTTCAGAGGAGGAGAGGCAAGAGTCTGAGGCTTCTCCGCAGCAGGTGAGGACACCGAACCAAGCTGACCTGCCTACAAGTGACCACGACGACGAAGGCTGTGCCTCTTTGGACAGCGACGACTGCGTTATCGTCGGGTTTGTTAAGCCTACAGCAGAAAGGACTCCTGAGCTGGTTCAGCTGTCCTCAGACTCCGATGAGTCTGCCTTTGAAGATATTAAAGAAGTGCCTCTTCAGCCTTACCACATCCGTTTTACCAGCTGTAGTCCCGCTCCTACACAAAGGAGCGATTCTAGTCGTCAAACAGAAAATGTAGAAACGGATCGCCTTCATGGGTTGGAGTCGAAAGACGGATGTAGCTCTTCAGTATCCAGCAAATCCAAGAAATCCAGAAACAGTCAAACGGATAAAGATCACAGGAGGCGGCACAAATCAAAGGACGGGGACCGCAGGAGGGAGAGGAGGCGCTCCAAAAGTGGAGAGCGCAGGCACTCCAGCAGAAGCCCCGTGAGCTCCAACAGCATTGTCAGCTGTCATTCCTCTGAAACAGCTTGTTCTCATTCCCATGGCAAAGACTTCTCCAAATGTGACCCAGTCTACAGAAGGAGGGACCGGGACCACTGCTACCAGTCCTACAGCCACTACAGACGAGAGAAGCATGGGGGCGTGACGCATTTCACACACAGACGGTCCTACTATTTCAGCAGCCGCAGGTACTCTCGCTCCAGGAGCCGCAGCAGGGATTCACAGAGGCAACGCAGGAGATGGTCCCGGTCCAGGAGCTCTTCCAGCAGTCGCTCCCCTTCGACGAAGAGGAGGCCTCACCATAAGCCAGGAGGGAAACACAAATACAAAACAAGACATTTGGAGGACTCGTCCACGCACTTACCCCTAAACCCAAACGAAGAAGGCGACTCCGTATCGTCAACAAAACACAAGAAGAAAAGCAAAGAGAAGCGTCGTAAAAAATCCAAAAAGAGTGGCGGCGTGGAGCTCGCCAGGGAGGACAAGGAGCGTGACCGAGGCAAACATCACAAGAAAAAGAAGAAGCACAAGAAAAGCAAAAAACACAAAACGACCGAGCAGAAATCAAAGGCCTCCTCGACCGTCATCACCATCGACAGTGGCTCTGATTCTGGTACCAAACATGAACATGTGCCCCTCGTCAGCAGCTGGGATGGAAATGACATCACAGACGAACGAGCGAACCCCAGACCTGAGGACTAATGGTCACAGTTAGTGACGGACGCTGCCACGAGTGTTTTAGGACCACAACGTCTGGTACGGATCACCAGACCTTCACAAACTGGACCTTTGTGTTCCAGACACGTAGGTCCAGGTCAGTGTGGTTTACATCAGAGGTGACTGCCAGAGTTTTATAACTTTAAGTACATGTTAATAACACTTTTATGTTTGACATAACAACAATATTTAGACCTTTTTACAAACAAGAGTTCTTTGTCACTTCTGTATCACGTGCTGAAACATTTCAGGGAAAATATTTTATGTTTTATAAAAAGTCAGGAATATTCTCCTGCCTGTTGTAGCGTCAATAAACTTATTTTCATCTACAGATGGTGTTTGATGTGGTTTATTTTTAATATAAATTTAGTTTCTTTTATTATTTTTTGAATATGTAAACAAATAAATAAATACATCATGAAGTATAATGTCCAAACTTTTTGTTTTACATATTCAAGGGAGTGGGTAGAAGTATAAATTATCAAAATTCCCACTCCTTAACCTCGTACATAATCTTACATTTATTACATGTAACAACTAAACCATCAATACAGTATTTAACTACAGTAGATAAACAGTTATTTCTTTAACTTCACCCAAAAAAGGCATCAATAACAAAAGCATCAACAATAATTGAATAATAATAATATATCCAGCAATTGTTCATATATTTATATGATAATTTGAACAGTTTAAATTTGAAGAATAAAGTACAAAGTGGTTACGAAACTGATGGGTTTTTTTTTAAATGTCAAATTTAAAAAGCAGTAATTAGGACTGATATTAAGATAATGTGGGACAGATCTTGTAGTAAGTTGATCATTTGTAAATTAAATTAAGTTTGGTATTATAGAGTTGTAGCGTTTATATAAAACTGACTAAAAATATCTTGTAATTTGGAGTCATATCAGTGGACAATGAAATATTTTAAATTAACATTATTATGGTAGTTTATTTACTGTTGCCTATGTGGCTTTTTGTGTTTCTTGCATTAATGACACCAAACTAGATGCTCATTTAAATTTAATTTTAGCCCCTTTTATAAAAATTATTGTACTCATCACACTCCAAATGTCAGTGTTTAACCATTCTCACTGCAATTTACAAAGAAACCTTTACAAATAAACCATTAAAAGTCCATTTAGTAAAAAAACAAAAGGTGGTAAGGAACCGTCAGTACAGGAAGAAGGACAGTAACTAAAGATGGGATTTATTGTCAGAAAGTGAATCCTGAGGTAAGAAGAACCGTGGAGCTCTCACATGTAACGTGCACTGTTCACCTGCTGTATGAACAAATGAATAATTGATGTTTTTAAAATGTATATTAGTTAAAACAATCTGTTAAGTATCAGAACACAGAGTGAACCGTGAAAAGCCCAAAGTACGTAGGTTTGAGACCAGACCTTGTTCTACAACCACTGCTCCATCAGCAAGAGGATGAAATCCACTAAACCAGTTGTTAAAATACTCCAGCCAGTATACAGTACTGGCTTTGACTGGATTCAGTGAAGAGTCACTTGTACCAAATAATTCAACAACAAAAGTGTTTCAAACTTATTCAAAATGTAATCGGACTTTTTTCCTCCTGGTTAATTTGTTCAAAAAGTATAAATCACATTAATTTTAGAAGACGAGCATGCGTCGAGTACACCCGTCTGCAGCAGTCGTCCACCAGCTCGGTGTCAGCCTCTCCTCCCGGGGATCTGATGGAAGTGGTTCTGGTAACCCGAGCTGAACCACTTGTTGGGGTCTTGGTCTCAGACTGGTCTTTGTGATGTTCTCTGGAAGTGTGAGTTGTCCAGGTTCACCCTCAGCTGCCGGTCACAGGTTGCTCCCAGGAAGACCTGCTGACCCTTTGACAATTATTTCTTTCTCTTGCTCGAACGAACGCGATCCGATGTTGTGATGGTTCGAGATGTTTGCTCAGGTCTATGACCACCTGGCCGTACCGCCACAGATAACGATTACAGGACGGGAGACTAGATTCAGCACAATCTGCTGGCTTCCTTAGATGGAGAACTTTTATTAACTGGGTTTTATAATGTATGTGGGTGTTTGTGAACAGTGCCCTGAGACGACTTCTGACTGACCTCTGACCTGACACACACAAGCAGCAGAGCAAGTACCACCAGGAGGTTTTCTTTCTCCCAGTTTTCAGAAAAATGTATTCTGTAAAGTGTAGAGTCGAGATTAGCAAAGATAAAAGCATTTCTCTGCAGTTGGTGGGAATATATCAGAGAAACACCTTTCGGGCCAAGAACATAGCAATGAGCCAGATGCACATTTTCACATAATCATTTCCTAAACTCCGTGTTTCTTCCAGTATGGCTCTCTCCTCTGGCAGAAATGACTGTGCTCCAGTCAGTCAGTGGTAGAACAGCTGAAATAAAGCTTGTTCTTCAGTGATCACTGGTTTTTACCACTAAATACTGTGTGCTGCCCAGCCAAATGTGATAACCAAACTTCTTTCTTTCAATCATTCCGATTTCCACACACTTTTATCATGTTCCGCATCAAAGGCGCCTGATTGTAGGTAACTTGTTGTAAAAAGAAAACAGCTGTTTCAAACAATTTGAGCAAAATAAATCCTAAATGTCTGGTAACGTCACTGCTCTTTTATTTTGAAAATGACTAAACCGGAAGTGAAATGTCTCGCGCTCGTGTCGCTGACGCCGGATGTCGTGGACGGCACACTTCCTAATTTTTCACTTTTTCTCTGAAGAAAGAAGTTGTCATGGCGTGTTCGTGGCCCGTTAAGGTAATAATTGTTGTTTGAGCGCCGCGCTGGGCGCGTGCTGACACGGGCCGAACCGTGGCTCGGTACCGGACACGGAGCCGCAGCCCGGCCTGCTGCCGGCTCGCTGCTCTGGTTCGGCCCGGACGTGTGTAGTAACCATTCCGGCTCTGTTAACCCGGGAACCATGTGAATAAATACTGACGTGGAGGTAAACTGGACCCGGCTCCTCTGTGGACCTGAAGCCAGACATTTATAAGGACTTTAATTGTGACAGTCTGAATGAACTACTTCCTGTATGTTAAAGTACTTCACTCAGCTAATCACTGTTACAGGAAGTATTTTAACACACAAAAGTATAAAATGGTCTTCAGTAAAACTTTTCTATTTGCACAGTTTTCACTAACAGTCCAATCTTTGTTCCTGACTAATCAGAGGAATAACCACTGAATTATGAATCACTGAAGCGAGAACAAAAGAAAAGTTATTAAAGTTAAAAGTGTAAATCAGTGTTTACATGAAACACAAAACCTAAGAAATACTTTGTACTTTCATAATGTACAAATACACATTAATGACATCTTGTCCCGTGTCTCTAGTTGGATGTTTTCACTAAATATCCAGAGAAACAGTTTTCAGTAACGGTACCAAACTGTTAGTCCAACCACTCTGTTGTTTTACTTCTTTAATTTGTATTGAAATAAATTAACTGGACAATGTTTCTAAATTATATCCTTGTGGCTTTAATAATAATAATAATAACAACTTGTAGTCACGCCCATGAGCTTTTTTTTAGATGAAGTGGAGGACAAATATCTAATGAGAAAAACATGAGTACTTTGTCTTTTCTAACAGCTTGAGTCTCTGAGACATGGTCCATGAGGACAAACCGTATGTAGTCTTCATCAGTTTGTCTCTTACTGCTGTTCCCAGATCAGCCCTGCAGGTTGGAGCCTTGTCAGTCGCTGTTTTCTTCAATGTCCCCCAGAGATGTTCAGGGGGACTCAGATCAGGACTTTCTTGTGGGACAGTTTTCCCAGCCTTTGTCCGGCAACAAGATGCTTTATCATCTAGAAAAATGAAGTCATCATCACCAAACATCCTTTCAGCTGAAGGGAGAAGAAATGTGTCTAAAGTTTAAACGTAGACTTTGATATTTATTGAAGATGTAATGACCGCCATCTATCCTGACCTGCAGGCCCAGATCATCAGTAATTGTGCAGTTCTATTTCGTATAGGCTTCGCCCTTTAAGAGCTGTCGCTTAGTGGGTTTATCTCGTCATGCGAAGCATTGCACTGAAAAATTTAGTCCACGCCCACCTGCTGTGTTGGCCCCACCCGGTTCGTATAAATTATGTTAAGAGCAGGTAATCGGCTCCCATTTTTCTTCAGCAAGCTAATAGCACTGTCAGAAGAACGAATAAGGAAAGTTGTCTAGCTTGACCAACCTTGTAAAGACTGCCTGTGGCCTCCTGTCGTCCCGGTGAGTTCTCCTCCCCGAGGAGAAGCAGACGAGCAGTCTTGTTTCAAGGTAAGCGCCGAGGAGTATTCTCAGTGGCAGGTCGCTACACGCTGGACGACGCCATCTTGTAATTTTCCTTTTATCGCCGACCCTCGGAGCGAATCGGATGGCGACGTCAGCAGCAGCCCCCCACTGCTCATTCCCTTCTGGAGAGCGTAGTGTCGGTAGAGGGAGGCTGAGCGAATGCTCATCCCCCCGGACCTTGTTTTGCATCGGCGACCACACCGCTCACAGCCGTCGATGCCCTCCTCTGGAGCTGGAGCTGCCCGACATAATCCAGGAGGCGGCTGACATGAAGGGACTTTTTCCGTCCCTCTCTTTCCCCCACCCAGATCGTATGATCTAGCGGGAAGGTTTCTGGACTCCATTCCGGCTCGCCGTCCTGATCCCATCTGGCCTCGTTTCCCAGCAGTGACGTCCTACTGGGACGAGGCCGCAGCCGGTTCCTGGTAGAATAGGGCGCCGGTTCCCACATCCATGCCCATCACCAGAGGGAGGGGTTTTCACCGAGCGGAAATTCCCTCGGTGCCCCCCTGGAGCCGAGCCTGGCGGAGGTTTTCGGAGCAAAGATGTCCAGATTGGACCAGCGTCCTGTGCCTCCAGGTAAGCATAACCAGACGTTGACGTCACTCTCCAACCGAGCTCACCGGTGTGCGTTCCAGGCGGCCGCAGCGAACAACACGTTATGCTGCTGGCGTACAACGTTCAAGAGGCTGGAGGAGACGTAGCGCTTCCTCTGCAAGGCAGCTGACGTCATCCTCAACCTGTGCGCCTCTTTGTTGTCTGCCGGTCTCGCATCGCAGCCGGAGGACGAGGTTTTCCAGAGGTCCACCTGTCCCGTCACTCCACCTTCCTCGGAGGAGCTGCAGAAAGCCTTTTTGTTGGAGGGCCCCCATCAACGAGGGACCATTTTCAAGACGTTCCACGGCTGCACGTCTCCCCGCTCCGCCAGCCCCACCCGTCAGACATCCCCGGCATCCGGAGATTCAGCGTTTCCCTGAGATCGCCAACAGGTGACGCCCTAGGACAACAAACCGCAGAGCTCAGGGGGAGATGACTCAAAATTATGGTTTGTGGAGGATGTGTGTGAAGATGACACAAGTTTTTGGAATAAAACATCATTTAATGATGAAAGTGTCTATTTTTAGCCAGTCTGTCAGCTCGGATGACCTGACAGTGGCTCCTTCACACATCCTCCACATGAAATGAGCCGGTGGCCTTTAAAAAGGTTTCTTCAAAATCACCGTTGCTCCAAAACAAGGCGAGACGCCCGCATGACACAACAGTCGTATGCGAATGTGGTCCGCACAACGAGTTCAGTGGAATGATACATTTTCAGCCCGAGCTGCACACCCCTCATCGAAGCGGTGTCAAACGCGCGCTCCTGCGACGCAAGCAGCCTTCACCCAAACGGCGCTGCGTTGATGAAGGTGCGCACACAGCTCCCCAGCGTTTCACCGGCTCGCATCAGCATGAATGTGAGACTGCAGGACGGGTCCAGTGAGAGACTTCGCTCTCAGCAAGAGTGGCACGCGCCTCACCGAAGCAAACGCATGCCTCCGAAGCGCTAGCAGCCTTCTCTCAAACGGCATGGCGTTGATGAAGGCGCACTCACCGCTTCTCAGCGCTCGCCCGCTCATGTCAGCATAAACGTGAGACCGCTGAACAAGCCCAGTAACGAACCTCGCTCCCAGCAGGAGCGGGGCGCGCCCCACCGAAGAAAACGCGTGCTCCCGCGGTGCTTGCAGCCTTCACTCAATCGGCACAGCATTGATGAAGGCGCGCGCACCGCTTCTCAGCGCTTGCCCGCTCACATCAGCATAATGTGAGACCGCAAAGCGAGCCCAGTGAAGGACCTCGCTCTTGGCAGGAGCGACACACGTCTCACCGCATTGGCGTCAAATGCGCGCTCCTGCGGTGTCAACAGTTTTCACACGCCCCTCCTCAACACACGCCGGTCCACATAGACATGAATGTGGACCCGCAGCCCTAGCGCAGCACACAGGCGAAGCACACAGGTGCGCTCAGAGCCCTTTCGAGGAAGCCTCGCCTTGGGTCATGCAGAACACACTCCCGCGGCTCATTTCCGGGGCGTTCATGCATTCAGAACGCATAACTACACAGCATGCGTCTGTGCATGGTACGCAGAATTACGCAACGCGTAATTACGCACATGGGGAGCTGAGTGACAAGATGATTTTCATACGGTGTTCGAATGGACCCAGTGAGGCAAGGACCACATCTGCTTCGCCCTTAACCCATCAGCGACAGCTCTTAAAGGGCTACGCCTGTATTCATAGAATCTGGGGTTACAGTACGTAACCAACGATTTATATATTTATTTTTCCTTATAAATGGACCAGCACCAAACCAAACCTCTAGTGTCGTCACTTTGTCCAGAGCAGAGTTGGTCACGAGGGATCAGCTTCATCTGCACTCCTCCACAGTCCATGATTTTGTTTCTTTAGCCTCCAGTTCTTCTTGGTTTGGTTGGCAATGGTGGCTTTGTTCTCTATTCTGTTGGTAAATCTCATTTCTTACCCTTTCGCATTCTTTCAGAGCAGCCTCCAGTAGCTCAGACAGTCCCGGTGCTTTGTTGTAAAGCGGTGACAGTTTTTAAAATTAATTCCTAATGAGTTTTGGAAAACGACAATTTTGTGGCATGTCTGATTTATTTATTTATTCATTCATTCATTTATACAAACTCAAACAACTGAAAGAACATCCTCCAAAGGTGGTGATTCCAAAATGTTTGTTTGTCATCCTGTGTCACTTCAGGTTGATCCAGCTGCTCTCATTTTTATTTCGTTTTAATTATTTGCTCAACCAGCTGTGTTGAGCTGCAAGCTTCCTGCAGCCAGATTGCTGTAAACTTAAAAAAAAAAAGTTTGTCACCTTCAGAACCGCATGTGGTGGAGGATGAACTGCATGTTTTTTTATGCACGTTGTGGCTGAGCCAACCGTTCAACACTTAACATTAGTTTATATGTTAGCTGTGTTTTAATCCAAGCTGTGTGGCCGTGGTGCCTTTCATGTCTTGTCTTGTTCTGCTTCTTTTTGATGTCCCATGAAAAATGACCAGAATTTCAATGGATTCATTTTCTCTTAAGTGATCTTTTTACCACAAATTGAACAAAGAGCTGCAGCAGAAGTCGTAATTGTTGATCCTTGCAGGAGCACTCGCTCAGATAGGTTTGACGGAACATGCCTTTTGTTCTAGATTGGAATTATTGGCGGCTCTGGTCTTGACGATCCAGATATCCTGGAGGGAAGAACGGAGCGATACGTTGACACACCGTATGGGAAGGTGAGTCGTCTTCTGATCTGAAGCAGACTCTTCTTCAAGTCTCTCGGAGGCTGCTGCCGTGTCACACATTAGTCCGTCTGCTGCTAAACAAAGCAGATTGAGAAAAACGTCTCACTCTGAAGACAGTTAAAATGTGGACTGTCATCTCGTCTCTGTGGGACCAGAGAGAAGACTTCAGGACATAATGTCCATAACCCTAATAACTGTTTCACCATTTGCTCTATTGTTTTATTCATTCATTCATAAAGTTTTCAACCTCTTTAGTATTAGGCTTCTTTTACAGTTTAGTGGTTTAACTCTGTGAGATTGTGTTTGAATTGTTGTTGTTGTTGTTGTTGTTGTTGTTGTTGTTGTTGTTGTTGTT